CTGCAGGTCAGTTTGTTCGCCAATACCATCCTTAGGGTATTGTTCCTAGTTACCCATTCATTCAAACGTTATCAATACCATCATCGTTACCACTATTTTTTGAAGTATTATCCTCGTCATCACTATCATCATCAGTAATAATACCATCCTAAAATTTCTTTAGTCTTAGGGTACCGCTTTTGGTCACCCACTCTTCCAACATCTGTAGAATTATCATCGTATCACTATCCTCATCAATTATAGCATCGTTAGAAATATCATCTTCAAGCAAATCCTTCAGTAGGGGGTCGTTACTTCAAACTGTTCTCGTTCACGATTGTTTTCGTCTATCATGAAATCCTCATCGAGGATAATTGACTGCTTCATCTAATCGGTATGCTTTAGTCGGGCTAGAGTTTTCGCGATCACGGTGTGGATTTTTGGGGAAAGGTTGGGGGGGCATTGGGAAGCCTTACTCTACAGGGGCGCTGCAAGGTGGGAGGTGGCTGCTCTGTCGGGGGTGGGGCAGATTTGTGGTTTGTCCTTGTCTGGGGCCGGGGTGGGAGAGTTGGTCGCCTTAAACCCCGGCGGGGGCAGATAGGGATAAAGGGGAGGGCGAAGGCACCCTCTAGGTGGGAATTGGCTGCCTTGGCGGAGGGGGGAGGGATGGGATCTGTTCCAGGTTGGGGCCGAGGTGAATCTCCTCAGTTGTGGCCGCGTGGGACAACGATGGTGGTGTAGGGGGAATTTTTCTCTGCGCAGTGACTATTGGACGCTTCTTGGACCTCAGAGATGGTTGCAACTGGACTGACATCAAGAGGGTTGCTCTATTCTATGCTCTCAACTTGCCAATGCCAGAACGACGCTGGTCTGAGCTGGGGTGTTACCCTGTAACCTGCCACGACAGGAGCGCGAGGCCTGGTAGAGAGATTTGGGGTTTGCTGAGGGAGGAAGGCAATCCAGTGGCGAATTGGGGGGGGGGGCGCCTTGACACCCTCTGGGGTTGGGGATAGTCTCGGGGGCGAGAAGAGGTCAGCTATGGTTGATGTTGTTTTGGTTGGTACTGTCTTTTAGTAGTGTCCCACTATAGGGAGGGCTAGGAATTGCTCTCTATTAGGAAGCCAAAATAGTTGATATAGCATAGTATTCACAATCTTTTAGATCTAATAAAGGTGGTGCAGTCAATTTCTTTAAAATTCTCAAGAAAAGCATAATCATCTTCATCAATACCATCGAGTTTGGGCAGCATCGAGTTCTGGAATCTTTGGGCAGCATCGAGTTTTCTTCCACATCCGGGATGTAGGATTTCAGGGATGGTCAACCCGGACCGATAACTGCAGAGTTGTTCTTTTTTGTGCCCCTGTTTTGCCGACGCCAGAACGATGCTGGCCGGAGCTGGGGCGTTGCCCAGTAACCTGCAAAGGCAGGAGCGTGGCCTCCCTCTCCGCCTTGAGAACATACAGCATAGCTTCCCCTTCTTCCCCGAGCGACAGATTGGCTACCCACTCCGTCACCATCTTCTCCAATCTTTCGTCTCCTTCCTTTGCGCCACTTGACTCCCCTCTCTCTTCTATCCTCACATTTCGCTCTCAAGGGGAGTCTCAACTTCCTCTTCTTCATCAGCTGAAAATCTTTGCGACCTCCACTTCCTGCTCCTTCGCACAAGGAGTGGTCCCTGTACCACCCCTCGTCAGGACTTTATATGAGAACGTGTGCCAAAAGCCTAGGGGAAACAGGGGACGCCAAAGGGTCCCCCACAGGGAGAACCCCACGAGTAGGCCATACATCGGGTAATTGCCCATGGTGGCTGTTGCACAACAGGTGACTATTCCACTCCTCACCACTTACACTTACCCACTGACTAATAGACTGATCGACTTTCTAAGGACCACAAAATCCTCTCAGATCTTGTCAACTATGGTCTCTAACCTATACCAGCTTGTCACTACAGGACTTCACTGCTGATCACGAGGCATTTAAGGAGATGCCCCATTACTCCTCAGGAATTTTTTAAAGTCGCAAACAGAACGACGTGATCAGCAAAGTCCTCTCAAGACTCAGATTTTGTGCAGCCCACAGCTCAGATTTTGGGCCAACCATGCCATACTGAGCAGCCCGCTGGTCTGTACCGGTCCTTGGGAGGGATAGGCTTCTGGGACGTGTCCATCATCAAACATGGACAGCAACCCTACTCAGCCCGTGTGGGTTTGGTCAACACAACTCTATGACCACATACACAGAGTTCCTATCACCTGGACAAAAGTGACTAAATGCAGAAAGAAGATACAGAGAGACTCAACAAGTACCATGGGGTGAGTGCACATCCATAGGGCGAGGTGTAGGTTGAAGGCTTGGCGGGATTGTACCAACTCCAGCTTGGTCAATGTTTCGATCAGCGGCCTTGGTCAACGCCGATCAACTATGGTCAACGTCTTGGTCAAACTCGGCCAACTCCCCAATCAACATCATCGGTCAATGCCTTTGACCTTCAGCTATGGCTGCCACCGTTTTCCTTCACCAACCTCCTATCTCTTTTTCTCCCCTATCATCTTCTTCCACCCTCGCTATGGTGTATTTGTCCCACCTTCGTCTCTCCTTCCTCTCTCCTCACCCCGTCTCCTTCGTCTACGTCAACCCCGTGTCCGAGCTCGACGGCTATGGTCGCCACCTTTCCTCTTCGTTGGCCTCACAACAATCTTCTCTCTCTCTCTCTCTCTCTCTCTCTCTCTCTCTCTCTCTCTCTCTCTCTCTCTCTCTCTCTCTCGTCATCAGCCAATCTTGCATCACTCAAGTCTCTCTCTCTCTCTCTCTCCCTCTCTCTCTCTCCCTCTCCCTCCCTCCCTCCCCCCTCCGTCTTCGTGGTCGTCCTCTTCTTCCTGGTCCGACGACTATGGCCACCCTTCTATTTCGTGGCGCAAAGATATCCTCCGATAGCGCGGCAACTTTTTCCCTCGTCAACTGGTGCGCAGCAACTTCGTCACTGGTGCGACGAACTTCTTCGACGGACCAAACAACGGCGCGCAGCAACTTCGCATGGCCGCACCAGGCAGCAGTGGGGCGCTCCACGAATCAACGGGACGTGGTGCAGCAACTGCGCGCGGC